AATAGAAACTGTATGCCTTTTTTTTTTTTTTTAAGTCAAGCATACTACCTTTTTTTTGTATGCGTGTGTTACTAGGGGTTGAGCCTAGGGGCACTCTACCACAAAACTATATCCCCAGCCCTATTTATTTTTAATATTGAGACAGGGTTTCACTAAATTGCCCCCGCAGGCCTTAAATTTGCAATTCTCCTGCCACATCCTCCCAAGTGGCTGGGATTACAAGTGCAGTCACCACACCTAGCATTTTTTTTTTTTTTTTTTAGTACTCCTTAACCTTCTTAGCAAAACTTATCATTTAGGTCTGAGAACTGGTTTTGTGTTTTGCATCATAGTCCCTAGACTAGAAATCTTGGTGTCCTTGTTTGTAAGATTATTATTATCTGGAAGCCACATCACTGTTGATTTAGCAGATTCATTACAAAGTCTTTATATAATACAATAATTGAAGTATTTTTATCCCTTTATTATTTTATCACCTACATGTAGTTTTTATCTTTTTATCTTTTTTTTTTTTTTTTTTAAAGAAAAGACTTCCTGAATTGTGGAAACAAAATTCCCAATGTGTACATATCCCATATCTGTGCCATTTTCTGCTTTGTGCTTTAAGCAGCTCCTTAGAAGTGACTATTGGACTTTGCATTTGAAAGTCTTTAATTGGCACTAAATTGATCATAATATCTCTTTTTAGAAACCAAGAACAGGAAATTTAGAAATATTCTTAGTTTTCTGATAACTAATTTTTATTGTCTTTTGCAGAGGGCTAATTTTAAAATTGTCTGCCTGAATCCTGTCTTCTGGAAATGGTCACAGATACTTATATCTGCAACATTGTTAGTGACTAACAAGAATAATGCAACTAGGTATATGCATAGCAAGTACAGGAGATAAAAGTAGGAAGATGTTTGTCTATAATTCCGTTATTGTGTTGTTTGCAACAAATTCCTCATGTTTATAAAATGATGCTTTAGAATTTTGCTTTGCTAGTAGTTAGTAAGCATAGTAAATGACTGGTTATCAAAGAACCAAAAGAAATTTTTTTTTATCAAGTAAGTTATTTTAAAAGACCTTTCATTCATCATATGTAATTTGTTCCTGTTTTTTTTTTCTATACTCTTTTTTTAACATATTTTTAAAAATTGTCATTCAGTATAATTTCAGAGAAGATTTTGGGTAAGTAAACACCAGGTACAAATAACAAATGTCAGCCTGAGCTAATAATAAGAAGATTGTTGATTTTTTAATGTCCCTAAAGTTTGGAAATTGAAATCATTGGGATTCGAAGTAGTGTGCTATTACTCAGGGTTTGGAGGAAAAAGGTAAAAGATGTCTGATTACTTTGATCTTTGTAACTTTGTGCCTACCCCAAGAATATTTTGGGAGGTGAGTTGGTGTCAGAAACACTTACTGTCCAAGTGGAGGACTGCCAGGTTAAGAAACGTGTGTGTGTTCTAGAATAGGGAACTTTGTGCAATGGAAAAAACATTCTGGTGTCAGACTTTCACCCATTGCAGCATGTGGCTGAGTTGTGTGACCTGGGAGAGTCACTGTATTTCTTTGAATCTAAGGTTTAAAACTGAAAAATAAGGGCTAATTATCTACTTCACAAGGTTGTTGCAAACATAATGAAAAAGCCCAATCATAGAGCTTGGGACATGGTCTGTACATTTTTTTCCCTCCTCTCTATAGTCCTTTGAATCTTTCCTTTTAAAAATATTTTTTTTAGTTGTGGATGGACACAGTATCTTTATTTTCTTAATTACTTTTATGTGGTGCTGAGTATCAAATCCAGTGCCTCATGCGTGCTAGGCAAGCACTATACCACTGAGCCTCAACCCCAGCCCTCCTTAGAGTCTTTTGAGCCCTCCTTAGAATCTTTTCGAGTTGCTGCTATTTAACGTTATTCTCCTCTTCCCCTTTTTGATGAGGGAGAATTCACTGAGATGTACCTAGGCATTTGTAAGTTCCTCAGAAGTGTGGAGAATTTTTCTTTTTTATTTATGGGGGTGGGGGGCTGGGGATTGAACTCAGGAGCACTTGACCACTGAGCCACTTCTCCAGCCCTATTTTGTATTTTATTTAGAGATGAAGTCTCACTGAGTTGCTTAGTGCCTCTCTTTAATTGCTGAGGCTGGCTTTGAACTTGCCATCCTCCTGCCTCCACCTCCTGAGTGGCTGGGGTTAGAGTCATAAACGGCCTGGAAACTGTTTTTGTTTTTTTTTTGTTTTGTTTTGTTTTTTAAATGTGTAAATATCTCCAGTTTTCTTGTGAGTACATTCTGGCTTTCCTAAGATTCTTATGTCCGTGATCACTTTCCCCTTTCATCTTTACTACAGTAAAACAGAATTAAGAATCACTGCCCCAGAGTAAGTATAACCACAAATGGTATTTTAGTAGTCTGACCAAATTAAGTGTGTGCCTTATGGAACTGATGGGGATGGGAGGACAGATTTCAGCCTTCTGACATTGGCTGCTAATTTGATTTTACATTAAACTTTTCAGATTTACTCTCAAGTATAATTGTATTTTTTTAAAAACCTGTTTTCTCTTAAAGAAATAATAAAATACTAAAAAACTTGGGATGTATATAAAATGAGATCCATTTATATTAAAGAATCTTTTTGGGAAATTGGGACTAAGAGTGGGGAAGTTTTTCAACCTGAAGTAAAAAAAGATTTAGTAGGGTTCCCCTCCCCTGCTTACTTGGGATTTAATCCCAGGCCTCACTCACTGAGCTATATCCCCCTGTATCTCCAGCCCTGTTTATTTTTAGTTTGAGGCAGTATCTCACTGATTTGCTCGGGCTGGCCTCAAATTTGCAGTCCTTCTGTTTTATCTTGCCAAGTAACAAACCAAATTATTTTAGCTCAATATGTGATATACTAATAGAGCATATTATCCAAGGATCAACCAGGAATGGTGGCATACACCTGTAATCCCTGCTACTCAGGACCCTGTCTCAAAAATAAAAAGGTATAGGGATAAAGTTCAATGGTAGAATGCTTTGGGTTTGATCTCCCGTCTGGAAAAACAACAACAACAAAAAATAGTTTCCAAGGAAGGTTTTAGAACATCTGTTAAATAAATTCAGTTATACAATAGCATTATTTGAGGTCTGTTATGGAAAAGGATGCTGTGGCTTCCACTCCTTCACTAGAGAAATGTGTGTTCAGCTATCAGTCTGGGAGATACCATAGCATAGTGGTTATGAGTTGCATCTGAATTTCAAATCCTACTGTGTTACTGTGTGACCTTTGGCAAGATACCATAATTGCCTCAGCTTCCTCATCTATAATATTTGGAGAATAATTATATCTGACTCACAGGGCATTAGAATTAAATGACATACTTGAAAATACATACTTGAAAAGCTCTTAGACCACTGCTCATTTCATTATAAGCACTGTGAAAGAGTTAAATAAAAATATGTAATCTAGTTAACAGAATGCTTATCCCTATAAAAGGGTAACTTAGTAGTATGAGACAGTATATATGTGTATTACAAGATTAAGTTCCCTTTAATTTTTCAGATTAGTGTTCAATGTGGATTTTATGCATAGAGTAAGAAAACTTAAAAATCTAAGGAAGAAGAGTATAGATCAAGAACTGGATTTGGAGAGGTGAAGTTCAGATAGAGAATAAATAATAAATACTCAAATTAGAGGGGAATTTTATGAACAAACAGAATTAGAAGGAATATAAATAGACTATAGAAGTTGGAGAGGAAGTAGAGAATATTGGAAGCTATCTTAGGAAGATAAGTGTGGACAAAATTATTGTAGACGTCTTTGGGTACAAAGATAAGGCTTTGAGATTTGTATATGTGGATTCTCCATCATTCACAAAGGAGAAGCTTATAGATTACTTTGTAACACAAAGTAAGCATTCAGTAAATGTTAGTGGTAGCAGTAATGTCTGTAGTGGTTCACTGTAGGGAGGTTATTTCATTGTTTTTGACTCTTTGCCTTCTTACAGACTATGCTGTGATGAGCATCTTTTTCATAAAATTATGATTCCTAAGCAGATACTTAATATTATACTTTAAGCTCTCATGGGAGGGTGATTATAAGTTTCAGAAAGGATGTGTTAAAGAGAAATAAGGGGGATTTACCAGCTCTAGTCAATTCCTTTTGCCAAGAAACCCCATAGTAGTCATCACAAAAGGTCATTATGGTACTAGCTGCCAGCAGGGAGTTTTTCAAGCATACTTAATAAAAATGATAACCTGTTAGGGAACTCTTCTATGAGTAATAAAAATTAAAAAAGAAAAAAAAACAGGGAGGCTTTGGGAAGGTGATTTAGCATGTAGAGCACTAGATCAGAGGTGTTTACATATGGCATAATACAAAACCAATGGTCATAAAACTCCATAGGAAGTATGAAAAAAAGACTCGGGAAGTTTGGGGGTGTGGTTATATATATGTATGTGTGTATGTGTATATATACACATACACACACACACACACACACATATATATATATATATAGTGAATTTGTAAATGCAGAACCTTGTTTGACTAATATTGATATACAATAAGTAAACTACCAAACATTTCTTATATCTCAGAAATCTCTTAGATTTTTTCATCCTATTATTATTTAAGGAAGTCAATATCAAATTAAATGCTCTAGTAAAAAAATTGTCCCATATTTAGAGGGGAAAAACTAAGCAAAGTACTATATTGTGTTTGTGTGTGTGTGTGGGGGGATGAATCCCCCTACACATGCCAGGTATTCTGTCACTGACCTACATCCCTAGCTTTTCTTCATATTTTTAATAACTTTTGTTCATAAAATAAGATTTCTTTTTTTTTTAGATAGGAATGTAAGTAAGTACTTTTCTGTCTTTAATAAAAATAATGTCTGGTTATAAAATAAAAATTCAAGGATTACTTTTTCTCTCAGATAACTTAAGATTCACCTTGAATGATTCATCTATAGTTTTTGGATAAGTAGCATTATTTTACATGAAAAGCTGTTTAATGTATTTCTCTTTTCTTAGGCATCTTTCTTAACAAAGAAGTTAAATATTGGTGGGAAAAGAGTAAACCTTGCCATATGGGTAAGTTAACCTTTTCATCTGTATTGAGTGGTATCTGCCTGTTTTTAATATTTTGATAACTAATTTGTGGAATACTGATTTTTTTTTCCTAGGAATAGGAATTTGAATTTCTCTATTTTTTTTTTGAAGTTAACTGAAACTTAGGCAATTTTGTTTATGATTTTAAAAATTCCTAAAATCTGGTTAAGAATTATATTTAAATATTCATGTCATATTGACCCTAGCTACAGAAGGATCAACTCAGGATTCTACTTCAGAGAGTGGATAGGGTGGGTGGGATTGGCTTCCCTGCCAAAGTGCTAGCCCTCTCACTGGTGGAGGGTAGGACAAGGATAATATAGTAGCATCTCTGTAAGCAGGTGGTCCTGGTGCATACTTGCTTTTATTTCTTTTCTCTATGGGGGAATCTGAATTTAGGGCAGGATCTATTCCTGGTTCATAATGTAGCGTTGGCCATTTTGACCCTCTAACATCTGCTTGTTTATTTTAGTAAGGTTGCTGAGAAGAATTGGGAGAGGGAATTGACCTTTGTTTTTTATTTATTTATTTATTTATTTATTTATTTATTTATTTATTTTTTGTGGTGCTGGGGATTGAACCCAGGGCCTTGTGCATGTGAGGCAAGCACTCTGCCAACTGAGCTATATTCCCAGCCCACTTGACCTTTGTTTAATTGTAAAACATTTCATGTTAACCTAATTTTTTCTTTCTTTCTTTTCTTTTTTTTTTTTTGGTAACCTGTTTCTTTTAATAGTGTTTTGGGATTATCTGACTTTATACTGTTTTTTCGTTGATCAGAAGTTCACTGAAGTTGCAAAAGCAGACATGCAGACATTTTTTCTTTTGGTTTAATAAACGTTTGTTGCTTTATTTAGGATACAGCAGGTCAAGAGAGATTCCATGCATTGGGTCCAATTTACTACAGAGATTCAAATGGAGCAATTTTAGTTTATGATATAACAGATGAAGATTCTTTTCAAAAGGTATGCTGTTTACTTTTGGGTAGATGATTTAATGAGAAGAACGATGATTTTTCGAGTTTCCATTTACAGTTAGTATGTAGTTTGCATAAAAGGTGACTACTTGTTTTTACTGAAATGTTTAATTTTTATTCATATTAGAGTAATTAATCATTTATTGCATGGCTTTCTCAAAGGGAAATAATTAAAGTTAAGCTTCAGAAAAATACAGGGGCTTTGTTTCTCCCTTAAAAAAAAAAATCTCATTTATTTGATTCTGTAGATATTGGGCACCTGAAAACTTGGTGTAGCTATGTGGGCTCCCTTTTTGTGAAGAGAGAAAAGGAAGAGCAAAATCCAGTTTAAGCTCTTTCTCATCACTAAATATTCTGGAAGTTACAGGGTAAATTTTGAAAGGACAATATAAGTAGTGTTTGTTTATTTAAAATTCCTTCGTTTTTTTAAAAAACTCCTCTTCAAACTTGCACCATAAATGTAAGATTTTTAAAGTTGTTTGGGATCAAAAATGATTTACCATTAAGCTTACCCTCTGAATTCTCATGGCAATCAGGATTAGTTATTTATTTGACCTTCCTTCCTAAAGCCTTTTTTGGAATAAATTTGTCAGCAATGTGTAATGAAAGTGGATAATTTCCAAGGCAAAATCTTTTCTTGCCTTGAGTTACAGGTTTATTCTTGTTCAGATTTCTTGCCTTTTTAGTTTAGTTTTGTTCTTTTTTTTTCCAGTAAAATCTAATGGAGCAAATAGATATACTAGTTAGCTCTTGGATTATTAATAACATGGTAAAGCAGTCCGAAGAGTAGGGAAATGAAATAGTATGTATCTTGCTGATTTAATGATTTTTGAAAGTTATTTTGGGGTTGCTTTTTGCTGTTTATTATCCCTTCTTGGATTTTTGCATGAAAATAAATGGTTTAAGTATTTTGTTGATTAAAAGAAAGTCTAGAGTTTTGGATTGAAAAGTGCCAGTTACTTATTAATACATAATAAGAACCCCAAAACTTCATGGCTTAAAAAAGGATTTATTATTTCTCATGATTCTTTGGGTTACTAGGTAGATCCTGTGCTTTGTCTGGCATATTGTTCCACCTAGTTACTCTTTTCTCCACATGCTTTCTCAACATTCTTTTTTTTTTTTCCTATCGTTGTTATTGTTGTTTTTGGTGTGGGGGGAGGGAGTGTCTGGGGATCAAACTCAGGGTTGCTATACATAGAGATACATCTCTAGCCCTGGTTCCCCTTGAATTTGAACTTGTATTTCCCCTGCTGCTATCCGCCACCCACGTTGCTGGGATTACATGCATGTGCCACCGTGCCCAGCTATCATTCTGTATTCTTGCTTAAGCTTTGTGTATGATAACTGGATTTCAAGAGTACAAACATAGAAGCTGCCCAGTCTTATAACATTAAGTCTGAAACTGGCACAGTATTACTTCTGTCACTTCTCTTAGTCAAAGCAAGTTACAAGTCCATCTGAAATTCTTAGGATGGGGAACTTCACTACCTATTGATAGAAGGCTAGGTGAAGCTATAACCAACTTTAATTCACCTCAGAATGTACAAGGAGGCCTGTGGAACAGAATATAATTGGAGACGAATAACAAATTACTTTCTGTGTTTTTACGGTTTTTATGGTACTACGGATCGAGCCCAGAGTTACTTCACTAAACTATTTATACCCAACCCTTTTTATTTATTTATTTATTTATTTTTGATAAATATCTCACTTTTGATGCTCTTGCCTCAGCCTTCCAACTAGCTGGGATTATATTGATTGAATACTGGATTGATTGATTGTGGTGCTGGAGATCAAACTGAGGGCCTTGCACATGCTAGACAAGTGCTCCATCACTGAGCTGTATCCCCAGCTTAATAACAAACTTTATAAAATTTGATTAGATTAATAGGTTGTAGAGTACAGGGAGTAAAGTAATATGTAATTGGATTCTGGTCTGTTTCTCTTGGGATGATGAGGATGTATATATTTTTTTTACCAGTTTTGTCATTTTTTTTCTTATGTGAAATTGACTAAATGCTTTGAAATCTTTATGTATTTGTGAACCAAACAAAATATGGGGCTGCACTGAGAAAACTGGTTTAGCCCTTAATAAAGATAAGGCAATGATAATTAATTACCTTTGGTTTTTATAAGGATTTGGGGTTGCTAAAGATAGTTCCTCTGTGTTCTTGCAAGGAGTGTGGAGCTGTTATATTTGTACTGTAGGACCAATGTACATACAGTAAGTGCTTATCATATATCTAATGTGGTTTTTGAAATTTATAGATGTATATTTTTTTTTAAGGAAGGTGTGATTTGACTGCACACAGATTAAATTTTGTTACAAGAAAAGAAAGCTGATGTCCCAAGTTTGTTCTTTATCTTGTTCTTTTATTATAATCCTGTTACTTTGTTATAATATTATAAGCACGTATTCAGAAGATTAATTTTCTTAATTCTAGTTTACTCCCAGCTGCATCTGCTGCTATGATATACTTCATATATAGTGGAGAATCAGTTTATTACTAGAATTGTCTTATACCAGTGGTTCTCTACCAAGGGATGACAATGTCTGGAAACATTTTTTGGTTGTCACAGCTGGAGGATACTATTGGCTTCTGGTGAACAGAAGCAAGGGGAAGCTATTAAATTATCACACATTACACAGGGTAGTCCTTCACAATAAAGAATGATCTGAGCCAAAAAAAAAAAATATCCAATAGTGGCAAGGTAAAAATATGTATATGGGCTTGTCACACATTAAATGATGAAAATATATTTTGCCATATTCTCTTTTTTGGTGCCCATATACATTTTTTTTTTCTCTTTAAATGTATGATAGAGAAGTTCTTAGGCCCTCTGTTTAGGAACCAATGACCGTACTAAAGACTATTTTAAGCCCACATTGACTATAGACATTTATTATCATTTATTATAGACATTTATTGATATGCTTTGGTAAATAGCTTTGTTTGGATCTATCAAAAATTTATAAAAATCTGTAATCAGAGGTGCATCTGTGGATACATACATATTTAGAGAGAGATAGAAATCTTCTCATTTTATGTGTTTTGCAGTATAATCTGATAATAGGAAGCTATTAGACATTTTGTGGTATTTTGCCAATGTTGAGTATTTAGGTGATATTATAGTACTAATTCTAATAGGATTTGTTTTAATATTTGTTCTTTTTATACACAGGTAAAAAACTGGGTCAAAGAATTACGGAAAATGTTGGGAAATGAAATCTGTTTATGTATAGTTGGTAAGCTTCATTACTTTAAAAAATCCTTTGTTTTCTTAATGTTTTAGTAAAAAAGTAATTCTTTTTAAAAGTGACATGAGAAAGAAATAATTATAGTATTTTAGTATTAAATATTTTAGAATAACTTAGTATTTGGAGGTGATTTTACAAGAGGTACAAACCCTATACTTCAGGGAACACCTTGGGGAACAGATTGGATGCTAACCTTTTAAGGCTTCAGGTTCTCTAGTCTTGCTTTATTTAGTTTAGCCTTTGCTGTTTTTCACTATAAGATTTTGTTTAAAAAAAAAAGTTTAGGAACTATTTTAAATAATATTAAAGGGGCGGGGGCAGGGGTTGTGGCTTAGCAGTAGAGCACTCACCTTGTACGTGCAAGGCCCTGGGTTCGATCCTTAGCACTACATAAAAATAAATAATTAAATAAAATAAAATTATATTAAAAAAAAAGAGATTAAAGGGGCTGGAGTTGTAGCTCAGTTGTAGAGTGCTTGCCTAGCATGCATGAGGCACTGGGTTCGATCATCAGCACCACATAAAAAAATAATAAAATAAAGATATTGTGTCCACCTATAACTAAAAATAAATAAATAAATAAATAAGATTAAAGCCAATTACTTAAGTCAGTATTCTTGTTTTATACATTTAACTATATACATTTTTGGAACAAGGACAAATTTGATTGCAAGGATGCAGTAGATAGATTATGATCCTGGGGTGGAGGAATTTTGTTAGTGGGTGAAATAAGAAGACTTCTAGAGCTCAGTCTTAGACTTCTAGAATTTTTCTTTGGTTCCCTTTATCAGATGATTATTTCTATGATATATTTGTCACACAATAAAAGTATACTAGGAACTATCCTCTGCACTCAACAGAAATTATCTCATACAATCCTGTAACCCTACAAGGGCTTTATAGAAGAAGCTGAGTCCTGGACATACATACTTGCCCAATGTCAGGCAGGTATCAGAGATGGGATTTGAATTGAAATCATTTTGACTTGTGTTCTTATGCTATTAATCCTTAAGATGTGTATTGTCAGTCTGCTCCTTTTCCATGTGGCTGATAATAGCAAGAATGAATTTAGAGAAATCTGAGTAGTTTTAGTGGAGGATGAAGGTGGTATTTAGGTAAATGAAGAAATGGTCAGTGTGGGAAAATCTTGCTTTTAGCCATAAGAATTATTTTTTTAACTTGAATTTATATTTCTTGCATCTTGTCACCACCAGATTGGCAACTTTACAATCTCATATCAGGGCACAAATTGGGTGGTGTGGGGTGGGGTGAGAAGTCAAAGAGATACTTTTGTCCTGCCTTTTAGTCTAAATGTTAAATGGTTGACTAGATAGCAGTGATATTTCGGACTGAAACACTAGAGTAACAAACTACATAATGTTTGACACCAAAGTTGCAGTTAGTCATTATGAGGTTTGTGTAAAGTCTTTGTGTGGTATATGGAATTTATCAAGAGTAGAAAAGACCACAGTTTGTAAATGATTGAACGTTTTCTTTTGGAGGATTGTGTCATCTCTCTAAAAAGAAAGAAATTACTAACACATATACATAAGAAAGAGGAGCCTCAAGAGCTTGTTACTTAACCTAGGTCCCTCACAAAAGTAACATTAAAACAAACAAACAAAAAACCTGGCTTAAATAAGCTCATGAATAGTTCATTTAAATTGTATTTTCTTAATGTTCATATTATAAGAAGGTTTGGAACAACTAATATGACATATAAAAAGTTCTCACTCCCTGCTACTGACAAGTATGTCATGGAATTTTAATTAGAATTCAGAGTTAGAACAAAGCTCATTTACTATTGTTCCCAAACTCAGCTACCATATGTGGTGCTGAGGATCAAACCTAGTGCCCCACATGTGCAAGGCAAGCACTGTACCATTGATCTACAACCCAACTCCCTGAAGAAGTTTTTTTAAAAAGATAAAAATTCTTTTGAGTGGCTTCTTTGAATCAAATACTGTACTATAATTGTGATTTAACCTATATGTACTATTCGATAATTGGGAACAGTTTATCTGATCTGACCCAGTGCAAGAATCTCATTTAGATCATCATGTTACTCTTGTATGAGGATTTGTGGTAACACTGTGTTTTTATCAGAAAGGCTACTTTTTAAAATAAACGAATTTTGTTAGTTAAAAACTGATAATACTCCCTATAATCTTACTGATTTTGTGTGTGTGTGTGGGGGGGGGATAACCTGGGAGTGAACCCAAGGGTACTTAACCACTAAGCCACAGCCCCAGCTCAGTGGTATTTTATTTAGAGACAGGGTCTCTCTAAGTTGCTTAGGGCCTCTTTAAGTTACTGAGGCTGCCTCAGCCTCCCAAGCTGGTGGGATTACAGGCATGTGGTGCCACTGCAGCTGGCTTACTGTTTTAAGTGTGTACTTTTCATTGAAATATAATGTGTATTAAAAAAAGTGTACACATCTTCAGTAACAACATAATTTTCACAAAATGAAAATTTCATTGTGTAAAGTATGAAAACCCCACTGACACGTCTTTCTTACCCCAGCACTATTATAGTTACCTTTTCTTCACTGCCCTTCACCCTACACCACTACCCTGACCTTTTGCTACATAAAGTAGTTTTGTTTTGAATTTATGTAAATGGAATCATATAAAGTATTGTGTCTGACTTCTTCAGCTTTACATTATGTTTACAAGATTCTTCTGTGGTGTTGCACATAGTTGTAGTTGATTTTTATTATCTTCTTTGTTATCTACTGCTTTATGAATATTCCACAGTGTATCCGTTTTGCATTACTTCTTACCTCTTGATTTTTATTTTGTTCTCTGTGGTAGATCAGTGTTTATTCTGTCTTCTGTTTTATTACATTTAGTAAATGGTAATAGTACTTCACAGTACTCTATTGAAGATTTTATAATTATTTGTAAAATGCTTGGCATAGAAATAGACATCTGACAAATATTCTTTTCCCTTTGCATAAGTCAGCACTTCAAACATTTGAAGCCTACTTGAATTATTTGCATGAAGTCTTTAAATTCTTCAGATCCTTACTTTTTTTTCATTCGGCTTACCTTCTAGACTTCCTAATCATCATGATCATTTTCTCTTAGGTTTGTTCCAGTGTATCAGTGTGTCTCCTACACCCGAAAGAAAAACTAGAACCCAGATGTTAAGCTGATGTATTCTTTTAGGGTCCTCTCCCCTTTCTTTTGGTACTGGGAGCTGAACCCAGGAGTCTTTACCACTGAGTCCCTTTTATTATTTTGAAACAGGATCTAAGTTGCCCTTGAACTTGCTATCTCTTGTGGTAGCCATCCAAATTGCTGGGATTACAGGTGTCTACCACCATTGCACAGGCTAGCCCAGAACTCCCGGGCTCAAATTATTCTCTCTTAGCCTCTGGGGTCGCTGGGACTACAGTGCTTGCTACCACACTCAGATTCTCTCTTTTAATACTTACGTTGTCCTATCAAGATTTGTTAAGATAGCATGAAGTTTTTAACAGCCATGTCAACTTATTGTCTCTTTTACGTAGATAATAGTATTGTTCAGTCAGGCTTTTCCAGCTTGTTCTTATGTAATTTAGTTATTTAAATCTATAGGTATTTCAAATTGTCATACATATTTGAACCTTGGATTTACAGTCAATTCATTTTTTCATGCATAAACTGAATACTTAACCATCTAGAGTCTTCTTTAAGGCACTCGATAACCATGTGTTAATCAGTTATGGAGAACCCCGTACTTTACTAGCAGAGACCTTTTCCTGTAGATTGTTCCTCATTCATTGAATGGCAGTCTTGGCTGTGATTGTTCTATTTAAACTAGTATTCTGCATCAGACTTATCTTTAACACTTGTGTATTTATTAAGTAAATATTGTTAATCATGACTACCATTTATTGAGTGTTGTGAACTATATGAACTACATGGTATTTCATTTAGTCCTTCTAACAATACTACAGGAAGATGATTTCCATTTTATGGATGGATGAATGGGCTTAGAGAGCTTTGTACTTCACAAAAACATGTATCAGGATAGACTGGGAGTTTAACTCAGGTCTGTGTGTTACTTCAGGCCCATATCCTTAAACAACACTGTTGTTTGCTATGTCAGGTTTTGGGCCTAGTGTAGTTAATACATAAAATAGGTCTGGTCTTTATCCTTTCAAAGCTTATTGTAAAGGAAGTGAGAAAAAAACAAGTTACCATTGTATATTATGATTTCTGCTACAAAAAGGGAAGTGCAGAATGAAATCTTGTAAGACCACAAAAGCAAACCTGTCTAGATTTAGGGAAGTAAAGGGAGATTTTCTAGAGCACAAATGGTTAAACTAAGTTAGCTAAATGCAGCTAGTAGGATGGTGGTAAAAAGTGTGTTACTTGTCATGGAGTTTAATTCTCTATTGATTTTTCATGATTATTGATCACCCACTGCGATGAATGTGGCTGATATTAATAACAAACTCTTTATTGAACAGATACTATATGCTAGGGATTTTTACCTAATTAACCCTGCAAGGTTTGCTACTATATTTGTACATTGTGAAACTAAGAGAGGTTAAGTAATTTACCCAGGATTTTAGTGCTATGAAATAAACTGGGATTGAAAAATGTTTTATTTTCTTTAAAAGTTGTGTGTCTTTTACTAGGAATTGAACTCAGGGATGCTCTATCACTGAGGTAGATCCCCAACCTTTTTTATTATTTAGTTTGAGACAAGGTCTCACTAAATTGCCCAGGCTGGCCTCAAATTTGTGATCCTTTTGCGTCACTGGGATTATAGGCATGTGCCACTAAACCCAGCTGGAAAAAGTGTCTTTTCATTATGCCTCACATATCCAGACTAAACAAAATATAATTCTAATTCTTTATCACTAATTAGGCCATCTCCCCTTAGCAATGAGCTTATCTCTTCTTCCTTTTTTTTTTTTTTTTTTTTTGCAGTATTGGGGATCAAACCCAGGGCTTTGCATATGCTAAGAAATAAGCAAGTGCTCTACCACATTCTTAATTCAGATATGTATTTTTTTAAGATAATTAAACAGTGGCTTTCTCCTTTCCTCAGTCCACTTACAAAAAGAATTAATAAAATCTTCGTCGTATACTTTCCAAATAGATTTTGATCAAGTAGATGCTTACTCTGCTGGTTGCCCTTGTTTTCAGGTGCCTTAAGCCTTTCAAAAATCCATGTAGCGGAGATGGGGTTGTAGCTCAGTGGTAGAGTGCTTGCCTAGCACGTGTGAGGCACTGGGTTCAATCCTTAGCACCACATAAAAATAAATAAATAAAGATATTGTGTCCATCTACAACTACAATTTTTTAAAAAATCCATGCAGCTGCAGAGTAGTATCAAATCAAATAGGAGCTTCAGAGCCTTACTTCCTTAGCTGTCTTGCTTTTGAAAAAAGAAATTACAAAGGGTTTTGAACTTTGGAAAGAAATCAGTCACTAACGAGTCAGTTTCCTGTGACATTTTCTGTGCCAACAATCCATTGTGATCACTGATTGTTCTAAGAAGTAGTAGTTATCTAGTAAAGGGATTTAAATTTTTTATTTAAATAATTAAGTCATTAAAATATCTATGATAGTTAATAATGGTCTGATTTATTAAAATTAGTCAAAATTTTGAATGTTATTACATGATAAAACAATTAGTAATTTCCCTCAGTGTTCGTTTGAAACAGTAAGATGATTGATTACCTTCTTTCTCTGACCTCACTCTTTTTTAGGTGTTGATGATTCTGGTGGAATTTTTAAAACAAAGCATTAAAAACCTAAGAAAAAAATGTTTATAGGGTTTTAGTTGGTTGGACCAAAAGTTTTCTTACTATTAGGGGACTAAATTGTTTAACCTTTTTAAAGGTACAATCTTGTGCCTATTAGAGCCACTTGCCACCAGATGGTGCTTTTTGCATTCTTTATAGAATAAAATAACTTGTTTTCCCTCTAGTTACTGTCAAATATACTGGCTACAGTATTTAGCAGATTAAAAATTTTATTGACAAATTATAACATAGGAAATCAGAATTAATATAGAACTTCTTACTAAGGTAGACAGGTAACTGTTCAAAGTAGAAAAAATTCATTACTGACTTCCATGGTACTCACTGATCTTTATTGTTATGTCTGCTTCTCTCCTTCTCATCCTTAGGCTGTAATGGCAAATAGTTTCTTGTAGCTACCAGCAATTAGTGTTCAATTGTTTGAGATTCTCAATATACAGAACTGCTGGATTTAAACTTTTCAGTGCTAAATATTATATCTTTCGTCAGGTGCTTACTTGAATACTTTATCTAAAACTTCTCTAAAATTTTCTTCTCAACTCTATAATGTCCCAAGGGGAAAAAATGACCTTGATTATAAGATTTCTTTTTTTTTCTCCCTAGAATTCATAATAGAAGAAAAGAAATATTTGAAGTGTTTTTCCTTAAGGTCTTTTTCCCTATTCTTAACTGTTGCTTCAGTTACCTTTAGCACTCTGTGTGTCTGGCCAACTCACCTTAACTTTTGTCCTGTATTTAGTAAGAACTCTGCAATTTACAGTATCTTTATTTTTGTTCTGGTGACTTTTTAGCATAATCTTGGTTTGGTGCTATTGTTTAAAGAGAGCTAAATTTATTTCTTTTCAGCAATTTAAATCTGCATGATATGCATATATTAAGTTCTAATAAGTCACTAAAATAATATAGTTTTTGTCTCTGTGATGGTAAAGTTCTTAAAAATCCATACATTTTAAGTTTTACTTTAACTCATTTATATTATCTAGGAAACCAGAATCTGTTAGGGCCCAAGAAGTTAGCTGAATATATTTTAGTAAACAAAAAGATAGCCATACTTAATTATTGACTGGCTGTAAGTTGATTGGGGAACATAGAAAATTTTTTCCTCTTTAGCCATTAATGTTTTGCTAAAAATTGTAAGTTTTCCCCTACATTCCCTGGGGAGTCTTAATCCCTGGTATATCTACATCAAAGAATAATATATCTCCTTGAAAAGTAGTTTTCTTTGACACAGTCTGAAAATTTAGGGATATGCATTGATCCATTTGAGGGAAGATGATTTGTTCATCTTGACAATTGTGAACAGCTCTCATATGATAGGGATTAACTTTATAGTTTTAAGACATTTAGAAGTCTGATAGGGATTTGTATTATTTTTTTCAGGTAATTAAGATGGCAGTTGTACATTTAGAATTGGCTTAATTTTATTATAAAAATGAATCAATGTTAAGATTAGTATTTACTTTTTTCAAATTAGGTAATAAAATAGACTTGGAAAAGGAGAGACATGTTTCCATTCAAGAGGCAGAATCGTAAGTGTCTGGCACCTCTACCTGCACACCCCCACCCCACCTTGTTACTCCCCAGAAGTCTTCCTCTTTGTATAGTATATATTACCATTTAGATGTTACTCAAATCTCTTAAGGTTTTAAACTATTGAATTCAGTGAAACATGTTTATGTTGGTAGTTTCTAGAGTTTTGACAATATTTAAAAATATTCTGCTTTCAGTTCCCATTTTGATTTCGTTAAAAAATAAAAGAATTATGTTAAAAAATTACCATGTTCAAATAGGCAGTGAATCACAAAAGCTTAAGAATTTGAGTTTCAAATTAATCTATAAAAATTTTAAGTCTTATTATTTGTGTTATTTAAAATTTGGGGGGCTGGGGATGTGGCTCATGGGGCTGGGGATGTGGCTCAAGCGGTAGCGCGCTCGCCTGGCATGCGTGCGGCCCGGGTTCAATCCTCAGCACCACATACAAACAAAGATGTTGTGTCCGCCGAAAACTAAAAAAAAAAATAAAATAAAATAAAATTTGGTTCCATGTACAGAGAAGTTAAACGACTAATTTTAATTTTACTACACTTGGGTAAATTAATAAGTCATTATTATGTTTTGCTGCTGTAAAAATTTTTTAATGTTTTATATCAATTGCTGATGTTATTTTCTTTTTTTAAGGTATGCAGAATCTGTAGGAGCAAAACATTATCATACTTCAGCCAAACAAAACAAAGGAATTGAGGAACTCTTTCTTGACCTTTGTAAAAGTAGGTATATTCAGATTTAGTGTGCCTAAAAATGGCTCTTTTTAAAGCATTGGTAGTGTTTCTAAAGTGATATTTTGACAATTTCCATTAATGTCCACATAGATGATTTGTTGCATCTACCTATACTACTGTTTGTTTATTTAACTTATTTTTTAGAAAATTTTAAATATCTTACTTTAGCTGTGTTTTAAATAGTAATTAGCACACATGGAATGATATGAATGGTATGTGCTAAGTGCATAAAAATATATGCATCAGTATTAAAACACCTACAAGAGCTGTAACAGTCTGTTGTAGTGGGTGGACCTTATTTAGATTCTGATTTAACAAACTAGTGAAAAACATTTGTGAAACAATTAGGAATATATAACACTTGATGGATACTTGGTGATTTAAGATATAATTGTCAGTTTTTTAGTGTGATTATAGTGGTATAATTAAACTTTTAAAAAGTTCTTTGAGGTGCATATCAAAATAATTCACGAATAAAATTGTTTCTAGGCTTTGATTTAAAATAATGATACAGATCTTTAGGTATGGACAAAATCAGGTGATAAGATTTCATTATGCTATTTTTTTTCTACTTTTACCTATGTTGAAATTTTCCATATAAAAATTGTTTAAAGTAAGTTTTTTAAAAATATGTAACCTGCAAGGGAAATACGTTTTTAAAAAATATGTAACCTGCAAGTTATTTTCTTATGTTGCCAGTAGAATGCGTATCATATTTAGGAAAACCCTGGTATATGCAATAAGAGATTGAAATGACTTTGGCAAATTGTATTTCTTAAATTTATGGACCTCAGACTCTTGAGAAATTTGACGAAACTGTGTCTGTGTCTGTGTCTGTGTCTGTCTGTCTCTCTCTCTCGCTCAAAATGCATACCTTTATAAACTTTGAAGTAAATTTCAGTTTTATGAAACCCTGAAGTCATTCATAATTTTTCTGGAATAGTGATTATCTAAATCAGATATTCTTATCAGCAGCATCACTTGAGAATGTGTTAGAAATGCAAATTCTTGGACTCTGCCCCAAACCCTACAGAATCATAATCTCTGGAGATGGCAACAAAAGTCTTTATTGTAATGACCCCCTGCCCCATGATTCTGATGCACACTGAAATGTGCAAATCCTTCACATGAATCAGTTGAGGATCTTGTTAAAATATGTAATTTGATGTTGCAGATTTGCCATGGCTTGAAGTTCTCATTTCTATAGGCACCCAAGTGGTGATGATGCTAGTCCTCACACCAGACTTGTAGTAAAAGGCTCTAGATCCTAATGGCTTACCAATGTGATAAATCTCACACCTTCATAATTTTTTGAGTATTCTCCATATGTCTACTTAGAAATCATGAACCACACATAAGTACTAATGTATGTTATACATTTTAAAGTGTACCTAAAGATAGAAATTTTGAAAGGTTGAAAAAAATAAGAAATAGATTTCATAATTTTCCTTATTTCATTTAATTGGATTATCCCACACACCTTAATTTGGAAGCCATTCTTTACAAGCAGTCTCTGAACCCAAATGTTAGAATCTTCATCTTATTTCAGGGACTCCCTATTTTTTTCTCTCATTTTGTCAGTTATGTATTTTGCAAATATTTTCTGCTAGTCTGTCTGGAATTTTATTTTTGTCTCTCAAGAGCAAAAGGCTTTTGTTTTGTGTGGTACTACGGATTGAACCCAGGGGCATTTTGCCACTGAGCTGTATCCCTAGTCTCCCCTGCTCTCTTATTTTAAAATTCTGAGACAGGGTCTCACTGTGTTGCCCAGGTTCCTGCCTCAGCCTCTCAAGTAGCTGGATTACAGGTGTGTATCACTGTGCCTGGCTTAAAAGTTTTAAAATTTCATTGAGATTGAGTTTATCAATTTTTAAATGATTTTTTGGGTCTTATTTGAAAATCTAAGCCAGAATCACAGAATTTTTCTCCTACAAAGATTTTTATCCTATGTTTTTTTCCTAGATTTTTTGCTTTTATGTAATTGTGTTTAGGTAACTTTTCCTGATTTTTGCATATGGTGTTGAAGTATGGGTTAAAGTTTATTTTTTACATATACTTGTTCGGTTCTGGTACCATTTCTTGAAAATATTATTCTTTCATCATTGAATAGCCTTGGCAAATGCGTCAGAAATCAAGTAACTATGTATGTGGGGGTCTTTTTTTGGACTTTATTTTCTGTTTCATGTATCTGTTTCTTCTTTCATGAAGCAGAAACTGTCTTAGTATATCTTTATCAGTGAGTCCTCCAACTGTTCTTGTAAGCTTCTTCATCTTAAACTCTTATTCATTCAAATATCATTCACTTAAATTATTGAAGAATAAATCCTTTGCCCTAAATATCACTTGTACTTGGAATAACTTGAATTTTGACATATCACTGATATGTCAAAGATTGTATGTTTGGAAGATTGTAAGGATTATACTTGTACAGTTATTTTCTCAAAGCCAAAAAAAAAAAAAAAAGTTTTTTTTTCTATTGCTGTCACTGTAGCCAATATACCACTGGTTATATTGATGCTCGCTACTGAAACTAGTTCTTGAAACTTGTGTAAAGCTATTATAGTGAGCTAAGTGTTCATTATATTTAATTTCCTTGTTGATTAAAAATCAAAAATAGCTCTCATAGTGGTATACTGAAATTATAGAAAGAGGAAACTCAAAGATTGTAGAATTAATAATTTTTGCTCTCTCCCTATCTTAGGGATGATAGAAACGGCACAGGTGGATGAGAGGGCAAAAGGCAATGGCTCCAGTCAACCAGGAGCTGCAAGGCGAGGTGTACAGATTATTGATGATGAGCCTCAAGCCCAGAGCAGTGGTGGAGGATGCTGTTCTTCTGGATAACCATTCAAGCCTAAGAAATTAAAAAACAAAACAAAACTGTGGATCATTGCCCTCAACATGAAGACTGCCATATTCCAAGTCACATTATTTTACCAATGGAGTTATAGAATTAACAGTATTTTAAATTACATTTATAACACTGCAGAGACCTTAAGTGCTAAACTTAGTGGAGTTTGTGACCAGAGAATTGGCATTTTCTACAAATGTTAACAAAGCAATTACCAATGGCCTTTTTACATATTTTTTTCTTTAATGAGGAATAATATGCATGTAGAAAAGACCTACTTAAAGGCTTCATTTATATTCTTTTAAATCAGATCTTTATTTAATAACTTATATATGTTGTTGGAATGATATACATTTTTGCAGCCCTTTGTATTTTGTGGTAGTTTGAATTGTATCACTTCTAAACAGCAAACTGTTTTTGTTTTTGTTTTTGATTAGCAGATACCTGAAGTACTATTTTTGCAGGGTTTGCACAGGCCCCTAACTGTCTACTACTTTGATATAATCTATATACATCCTGTATGCTGAGCTGGTAAAATACGTTGTAAATTACATATTAAATATTTTATCTGCTTTTACAAGCGCAAGGTGCAAAAATATCTACAGTAGTCTCATTGATGACCGTAAAGTGAATTAACATTTGGTGATAATGTCTTAGCTTTTTGACTGATACAAAGATCATCGCTCCCTTTCACTTTTGTCTTAACTTAAAAGTGGCGTGTTTAAATTTTCACACATATTTTACTTGAATTATTGCTGTTGTCACATTTTTTGCCTTTCTAAGTCCATCTGATGATTGAACAGCAGCATTTGCCTTTTGGTTTGGATTTTGGGTTTGTTTTAGAGTTTTTTTTGTGTGTGTGTGTGCGTACAAGAGTGTGCGTGTGTGTGTGTGTGTGTGTGTGTGTGTCAGTGTATGTTGTTGGTTTTTTAATAAAAAGAGATGACTTCTGCTGATTTTTGCTTTACAATGGTTACCTTAGAAGAATTTGAGTGGAGCATGCTGAGTTTCACTTCTGCAACAGCTTTAGATTTCTTAGGCTTTATATAAGCTGGGTTCACTGGCATGAGAAAAGAGGAAGAGGTCCCAGATTGTAACCACTCACGAAGACTCATTCATATAGCATGTTAGTGGTATTTATGCTCCTGAGGCAGCACTTGTGAGCAAGTCTGTTTGTTCATTGCTTGTCAGAGATGAACACAGAACATTCTGTTCATTTTATAAGAGCTATCCTGAGCTTCTGTAGAGGGAAGCATTTCATGTAATGCAGTTATAGCAGACACTGGAAAGATTTATTATAAAATTATATTCTTGTATACTTTGTAAATTAGTCCCTCATTAGACTGCTTCCTTTTAGCATAGGACTGAACTTAAATTTGTTAATTTTAATAGAATCAGGTGCTGCTCACAGAAGGAACACAGATTGTAGAAATTAACATGAATTGTTCTTGTTCTAATATATATATATTTTTCCATTTCTGTCATGCTTGGAAAACTAGTAAATGTTATGTCTAAGTTAAAATGGAATGGTCCCTGGATTTACTTATAAGAAGCAGAGTATACAATAAAGCTGTTAGCATGAGCGATTAAGAGGATATATGGGGTTATAGTTACTGAAGAAGTACTATCATATTTTTAAGTTAATAGCTTAAACCTTCTCAAATGGGTTAAAAGTTGAATGACTTGACACCTTGATGTTGTGATGTTAGAATTTTATCGTAGTATTAAATGTTCTCTAAGCCCTCACTTAACATTCTTTATTGTCCTTGCCAAACTCAGCATACTGACCTCTTATGTTATGTGTTTGAGGATGGTGGGAGTGGGAAGAGTTGGAGATAAGCTAAAATTGTCTCCTTTTATGGGATGATTATGCTCTGTATAATCTCTTGGTTTCCTGTGAAGTCAGTGTTTATTCAGGGATAGAAGAGGCAGTGGGAATCTTGAGTCTCCCATGAAGGTTATGTTTTTGCCCTTTTGGCTCTTTTAGAGGGAGTAAAGAAAGCTTTGCTGTTCCTACTTTTAAGATGATAAATAAGCTTTTCTCATTGGAGTGAAATGTGTTTTGTAAACTAGAGATGAAATTCCGCTTTATTCCAAAAGTTAGTTTTAAAACCTGATAATTGGACAACTGTACTTCCATTTTTTACCCTCTTTATTATTAAATTCCAGATTGGAATAATAAATGGGAATTTAAATTAAATTTATTATTAAATTTATCTAGTTGCCAAATTATTGGTAGGGCATAACTATTTTCCATATTTTTTCCCTTACCTTTCCATGATTTTTGTGTATTTTTCTTAACCTCAAGTATTTTGCCCGCCCCTCTCCCCCTGTGTGTGTCTGTCTCCCCCCTCCCCCGCCACCCTCTCTCTCTCAAACTTGTAATTCAGGTTAATTTAATAGCAACAATAGATAGTAGGTTATTTCTGTTGCTTTGAATCTCAAAAGGTCTTTAAGGTAGGTATAGGGTGAAGGAGTGATGAAATTGGATCAGTCAGCTGCAGTATGTATAAAAGGAAAGAAAAAGAGAGGATAAACCCCAAGCTAGGAAGTTTTTCTGATACTTTCTTCATTTCTATGTATCTTTTTTGTTCCTGTCCTAATAATTGTGCTATTAGGAAGAAAACACAAGTTATGATGTTGTATGTTAAAAAGTATAGGTAGGTAGAACAAATATATTTTGAACTAATAAGTTGAAAAATTGGTTTTAGGATAGTCATTAAAAATTCTCGAGTGCTTAATATTATGTTAAAAGTATATAATCATTCTTTCTGTAATGATGGTGGGTATTCTTGTTTTGCTTTCTGACTACAGGGGAAGGTTATTTTTAAAAATGTATATTGCAACAAGGGGATAACATTAACTTGAAAAGAACGAAACATTATGTTATTGTATGAAATATGAATGTTTGAATTTGTTTTGTCTGGAGTATCTCCTGAGACTACCTAAAGATATGCTCTTTTTTTTTTTTTTTAACTAATAGAAGTTATTAATGGGGTTCTTTTTCTTTGGCATTAATTAAAGAATGATATTTTCATCTTTAGGTTTCTAGTAATAGAAAGTAAAATTGAGGAAATGGGAAAAGAAGGTAGTGAAGAATGGAATGGAAATCAAGTAGATATTAAACTCTACAACCTGACATTTTTAAAATCACTTTGAAAAATACATTGCTTTTCTCAAGTAGTTTCTAAATGCAAGAGAGTCATTGTGCCAAATATTTGAAGGATTTTTAAAAGGTAGATTATGATACTGTGTTTCTTTTAACATATAATTTGCAATTTTCTGTAATATAAGTGCTATTGGGAGTCTAGATCATTGCTCGTTTCTATTACCTCCATATAATATAATTTGCCCATAATATAAATTACCTCTAGAGGTAATTTGTTCTGTGCTTTTAATATTCAGATTTTATCTTCTGTTCATTATTTGAACTTTTCATGGTTTTCTTTGTAGTTAAAGTGTGACAAGGAATACATAATTTGTGATCTTTTATTATGTTGGGATCTTTTGGTAGAGGGTGTAGACAGTAGTGGCCAATAGGAGCAACTAAAGATAAAGGATTGAGTAGATCCTTAAGTACTCTTTTTTAAATTAAAAAATGCATTACCTAGATTTTAATAAAAAGCAGGAATTGTTGAATTACATATACTTGATTTCATCATAGGCATTGATTTCACTTGCTGTTCTGTTATTTTTAATCACCTGTGACAGTAGTGTATTTGGTACTGTGGATGAAAATTCATACCATAATATGTCTTGACTTTGATGGCCTTTCTCTCTTCAAGAAAACAAATTAATTACAATTTTGAGCAAAAGTTTCCTAATTGTGTTTTAGTGTTACATATAATAGAACAAATTAGAAATTCTTTTAAGAGTTTCCAATTTGAAGCAGAAATACTTCTCTTCTAAACAATAGCACATTAATTTGGTACACTTCTTAGTGCTGCTTATACTATCCAAGATTTATGTCTCATCTCTTTTCTGAAAAGCTTTTATGCTTTTTGAGTGTAACTCTTTTTACTGCAACATTTTCCCTTTAGTAAATATGGCAAGTTAATGTTACTTGCTGTACCCAGTAAAACTTTTATTCTTAAAGCATCTTGTCCTCTTTAGAAGGCTTACACATATGCATCTCATGAAAACAACAAGAGATGGGGGTTGCCTTCTTAAATGGCCTTAATTCCCAATATACCAGTTCTTACTCTTGATTTTGGTATTTCTTATCAAATATCTACTCATTATCAAGTGTTTAAGAAAAAGCAAATAATTAAATGAAACATGATGAAAAAAAAGATGAAGGATAACAATAATTAAAGTACAATAATGTTGAAGAAAGACCACAATTGTATTTGCTAAACTGTTATCTTTGGCAGTTTAGGGAAACCATCATATGTAGTACTTCCTAGAAATATAAGAGTTCCTTTTTTTTTTTTTTTTTGTATGTATTATGTAAGAATACATTCTAGGAAAAAATTAAAAAAAGATGTTGTCAACATGTCCCTTTATGCCCCCTTCCAAATGATAACTATTGCTCTCTTGTATATGCTCCTCAATCACCTTTTCACTAAACATTTATATACATACATGTTTCCTTATAGAAATACATAGTCTTGTGGGTTTTAGTTTTGTGTCTTATTATATACATGTTTTGCATCTTTTACCAACATGTCCAGAAGATCTTGGTTCAGTAAATACCTGCTTTCTCCTTTTCTTCTGTGTCTCTTGGGATATGTTTTTGTTTTGTCATGTTTTTTTCCTTTTAATAGCTTCTTAATTTGCATGAAGCCTTCCCAAAAGGAATGTGGTCAATTAGGTGGATCTCATTGGCATCATAGAATAATTTTAACCAGAATTGTGTTATCTCCTAATCTTGTGAATCAGGAAACTGGAAAGTTATCTAACAACTCATTTGAAGTTTATTACTTTGAGCCTGTGGTCCCCTTGCCCCCCAAATAAAATAAAAGTTAGGCATCAACTTTAGCAAATTTTTTACACATTTTTATACAGCTCTGAGTAGTTAACTTTTGTAATATTGGACTTCATGCTACCCAAAATTAAAACTTCTTTGTGCCTTTAATATAAAGTAAGAAGCAAAAGTCCTTTTTAGATCTCTCTTTACCCTTCACCCCACATTGGTTCTTAGAGGTAATTATTGTCAACAGTTTGGCTTAGGTTTGTGTGTCTCATAAAATTTTAGAATTTTTCAGTTTCCCAAGTAACACTTCTACCCTGTGTTAAATCTCATCCTCAGTTGATCCACTTACCAACAAACTAGAATCGCACTTGAAAAAAATTTTTTTTAGTTGTAGTTGGACACAGTTCCTTCCTTTCTTCCTTCTTTCCCTCCTTCCCTCCCTCCTTCCCTCCTTTTTTAATTTCTTCCTTTCTTTATTATTATTATGTGGTGCTGATGATGGAACTCTGTGCCTTGCACATGCTAGGCTAGGCGCGGGCTCTACTGTTGAGCCACAACTCCAGCCCCAAATCACGTTTTTTTTTTTTTTTTAAGAGCATACCTTTTTAATGAAATGTAAGTCGGTGTCAGCTCTGAAAGTAGGGGTTTACATACGGGAACTAGATAGCTAACTGCTTTCCTTTGTAGTTGGAGTTTAAGATGGAGAACAGAATACTTGACTATATACTCCAAGATGTAAGTAGTTCACCCTTGGCTATTTGGTCCACTAAGCACACACATTTGAATTAAGCATTTGATTAAGTGTATAGCTGCCAAACTTTGAGGTGTAGTAATTAGAATGCCTTTAGTTGAAATTGACTGAATTTGAGGTAAACTGGACAGAATGTTTTAAAAGTCTTGCAAATAATACATTTTCAAGCCAAGTTGAAATAGAGAAACATTTTCTAGCTTAGAGGGGGTAATTAAATGACCCTCTATTCCACATTGCTTTTCCAGATTTTGTTGTAGCACTGAGAAATAGATGGACGCCTTTTGCTTATTTAAACAGTTGCCATTTTATTTTGTTTGGTTTATGTTTTCTTTTAATCTAGAAGAAATACAATATAAAAAGCAATCATTGGTTTTGCCTTTGACAGTGTTGCCTTGATACACAGAAACCCAGGACACAACGCATTCCTAGTCATATTAGGCACTTTCAAAGATTACAACATAGGATAGTTTGTGTATTTCTAGATTCATTTTCTAATTCAAGAATATGGATTCCTTCTTCCTACCTGAAATTAAAGATATAGGTTAGAAAGATATAGTTTAATGAATATCTGAATTTTCTGATTTTATTTCCAGTGTTATTTAAGGATATGTTTGATTACAGCCTTCTAGGGCACTTCTTGGCCCTTTTGGAAAAATACAGTAAAATCAGTTTTATAAAATGCATTCCTTGAGCTATGTAGAAGTAATTTCTATTCATCTGCATTTTGCATTTTTTTTAGTACTTAGGATTGAACCCAGGACTTCATCTTAGAAAAGATGAATAATTTTAATAATATAGTGTCAGTTCTTAAAAATGGAAAAAGCCTATAAAGGTAAGACAAATCCTTTGAGGCTGGACACGGTAGCACCTGTAATCCCAGCGGCCAGGAAGGATCACAAGTTCAAAGCCAGCCTCAGCAAAAAAGCAAG